TGTTGTTTCTCTCTTCCCATATTACCCAACAGATTACTGCCTTTGTTGCTTTCCACATTACCATCCCTCTTTTCTTTCTCTGTCTCAAGAAATCATGGTTGAAGAGTCCTGCCACATCTTGAGGGGGAGCCCACCTGCAGCCAAAGAGAGTACAAAAGAAATCCCAAATTCGATGCACAAGAGAACAAGATATCATTAAATGAGGAAGGGTCTCACCACTTTCCTTACACAGTGAACACAAGTGAGGAGAAAGGCACATATATGGCCTTCTTTTCTGCAGCATATCACAAGTGTTTACCTTACCAAGGAATACTCCCAACAGAAAGCTTGGATCTTCGGGGGAATAGGCTTGCACTAAATTTCTTTCACAGGGAAGGTTGGGGGAAGCAAGCACTTTGAAGAAAGAGGAGCAAGAAAAGAGTCCGTCTGGAGAGCCTATCTAGATTCTTGAATCTTTCAATGAAGGGTCCAGGTTGATTTGCCCTAAGAGGTTCAGCAAACGGGTTAAGGAATCACACTCATACTCCCTTAGTCCCCTTCTAAAGCCTAAATTCCAGTTCACACCAGTTGGACACAGAGATCCTAACATGGATCTAGCTTTCCCCTTAAGGTTAGATAATGCAAAGAGATCAAGAAAATTATCTTTTAGTGGGGTTTCCCCTACCCACAGATCTTCCCAAAACAGAATTCTATTACCTTGTCCCACATCATACCGGATGGAATTGAGGAAAGTAGGGTAGATTTCATGAACTGCTGATTAATAAATTTCTTTCAATTATCAAAAAAAAAAAAAGAAGTAACCTTGAATGAATATTCTGATAGATCATCTAGCATGTGCCTAAGGCTCAGTTTGGAAAGAGTACAAATGCAAATATGTACAGTACAAATGTATACAAAATACAAGGCTTTGCACTCTAAATATTTGTATTTGTACTCCTTCCAAACTGAGCCTAATGAATTCTTACAATGTATATGCCAAATGTTAAATGTAAGATAAACTACAAAAGAAAACCTGAATACCTTTTTGTTACTTGCTGCATCTTCTGCTTGTTTCACCAAGGCAGTACCTTCAGCAGTAACATGCTGCAGCACAGCATAGTAAGAAAGCAAATAAACAGAAATTGATATGACACATTTAAGACTACCTCTGATTCAGAATAGCTAAATGCAAGCACCTGTTTAAAAATATTAGCAACTGGATCTAAACCACGAGGTATTCTGAAGAAGAGTCTATACATCCTTGACAGATCTTCCACCTAACACAATAAAGAAATTAAGGACAAGTATATTGAATTATAATGCATAGTCTCCAGATTACCAAAGCAATGAAGTATATGGCCAACACAATTAACCTAACAAGTACCTTATCATCCCTAAGCAAGGCATGGCATCCAGAATGTTCCTTCTCAAGTAACTGAGTTGCATATACAAATAATAACTCATGTTGCACTTTCTACAGAAAGAAAAAGTAACAAATAAGTCTCATAGGAGTTTAAATTCCCTCAAAGATGAATTTTCATCATATCCCGCAGAGATATTTATAGGTAAAACTACTAAAATAGTCCAACATTAAACCTCAGAGAAAAAACTCAGGAACAGACCTCCAACAACTTCTGTTCACTGCTAGAATGTAGGTAATGAGAAACCCGATCCTTCTCCCGTTTTAAGCATTCCTCAGCCTGAGAGTAAAACAGAAGTTCTTAAGCAAGATAAAAATTGGCGACATAAATAAATTTACATCCAATGACAAAGGGAAGACAGAAAGTCAGAAAGGATTACCTTTAGCATGTAATCTGGACAAGAATCCTCCAGAATCCAATTTGAAGCCTTACGAGAATAATAAGCAGCAGTGTCTTTAAGCATTGCTGCCTCAAAATCATTTTCATAACAATCCATTTGCCCCATTCCAATTTCAACAAAAATATCTATAATATTCTTCAACAAGGCTCGGTCAATTTGTTCTCCCTCTCGCTCTTGATCAATCTGGTACAGAAAATAATTAGTAAATCATCATATAGAAATAGAGGAAAAATATTTAATCAGTACACAACAACATAAAAACACATACCAGAGAGATTACAGCATCCCTCACTTTAACATTTATCTCCTGATACACCTGAAACAGAGATAAATGTGTATCTAAAACATTCAATATAATATACCTTTAAGTGAGGCAAGTATAAAAAACTAGCACAAAAGTGATTTGTACAATTTTTAACTCATATAGAAAAAAAATATATATCCTAAAGCAATTGAAATTAAAACAAATTGATATTAAGATTATGTGTGACAATATGAATTTGTTGCATACCAAATCACGAAAGCAAGTTAATCCAACTTCATTGAGTGGAGGAAGCGAACGCCGAGCAATGAAGTAGCGATCAAGATAGTGGAAGAAACGGGAAAGCCACCTCACCATAACTTTATGATTGGCCCACCTTTTTACAAGCTCTCTTAGCATAAACTCATCATGTTTCTCTCTCAAAGATGGCAAAACCTGGCAAAAATGTACAAAAAGCTCATAAGAATACGGATGTACATAACACAGGTAATCCCCTCTAAACTCTTAATGCTATCATTAATGAAATAAGAACAACAAATATAGATTCAAGGCAATAAAACAATTCAAGTTACAGAGAATGAGCAAGAGAAAACAATGGTACCTGCAGTAGATTAACAACACAGCATTGCAAGAGAAATACTAAAGAAAAAAATAGCCTCAAGCAATGTTAAATGCACCTATCCTTTGTCAGAATACAAGTTTAGGTTTTGACAGTAGAACATCCTTTTTTTGGAAGAAAAGAAAGGCATTGTTATATTACAAAAAGCTACCCATGCATTTCTAAAGAGATAAACTGTCTGTACAGGGAAAAACACCAATACATCCATTTTAATTTTGACAAAAATGCAAATGGTAAAGCTTTACATGAATCACAAGTTCATTTAAGTAAGATATTACATTAGTTGCAGTTGAACTTGCAAAACACTTGTAGATGTGTCACCAGATACTTAGTAGTTTAGACAAATATAAAGTTTGATCAACAAGGTAAACTGTTAAACAGTATGTGATAAATAAGGAACACATGTAATGTAAAGTGAACTTAAACAGACCCCATAAACTTCAGTATTGATGGCTCCAACTACTGGCCAAAAAATTGTTGAGTGAACTACCTAGCAATGGAAGCATGTTCTGGGTGGTGAAAAAAGGAGAATCATTGGTTCATATGTTTCAAAAAGTAATAAACTTAAAGATGCTCAACTCATAGTTTCATAACCACTAATCAACCCAGTTCCATGGCTTTGCTCAAATATTGTTTCAACCCTTTAAATGTTGATTTTCTGACTAGAAATCCCAAGCAATAATAATAGTTTCTTCACTCATTTCCTAAGCAATCAATGTTCTATTCAATTTGAATAGGACTTATCCATATTTTCCACATTGGAAATCATCATCATCATCTAAGCATATTCCCAACTATATGGGGTGCGAAACATGAATCCTGTCTTTTCCAATCCTTTCTGTTTCCTGTCATATCCAATATTAAATATGAGCACTTAAATCGTTTCTTACTACTTTGACCCATGTCCTTTTTGGTCTTCCACTAGCCCTTTAGCCCCTTTAACTTGTAACTGATTGCTTTTTCCACATTAGAAATATCATTTCTTAAAAAAAAAAACATATATTCTTCTTCTTCTTCTAATAACTAGACCACTCATTCTCAGCTTTGGTTGAGATTGCTAAAAACCTGTATTTACGGCTGCAAACAATATCCATTTGCCTGATTTCAAATCCAACCTGAATACAGCAATATGCATCTATTAACAAAGTCAGCTTGAATGCAGCTTTTATTTTTATTGTGTCCAAGATTTCCATTTCTGTCCTACTCTTATCCTTGAAGATCCCCCCGTTTCTTTCTTCCCAAAWAGTCCATATCAAGACCACTCGCACAGATTTCCACATCATCTTCCCTCTTTTCTTATCCAACATTAACTTTTCTTGATCAGCACCTTGAGTTGAAATGGCATCAATCCCAATGGAGTCCATCGTAACAATTTTTTTTATCTTGCGCAGGCATCAGGTATTTCTCCTCCAACACTTTGAACATTTCCCTAGCAAAGTCTCCCCTCCTAACACAAGTAGACTGTAGACCTAGATCACACCCCCCTTTAAGAACACTATGAAGTTCTTATACTAAAAACAAATAAGTTGTTTTATCTCCCGCTACCATTGACCAAGTGTGATCTGATTTGCACGAATTTACATATTAAGTGTGGGAAACCAAAAAAAAAAAAAAATCAGCTGTATTATGGAAGATAAAATCTCAAATTAGATACAAATTCCCAAGAAACTTCTTATTGACAACTACAACGAAGGAATTCATCTTTTTTACCATATATCTGCAATTCATGGAAAATACTTAGATTGGGCATATCTTAAACTAAGTGGTATATTAATTCTGAGAAAGTGTAGATGAAATAAATGCAAAGATAGTATCCGTGCTACTAGAAATGTGCAAAAATACCTGAGTGTCAATAGCTTGATTTCTACAAATGATGATGAAAACGTGCATAATATGAATTCTCATGAATAGTTACATTCACTTAACTTTCTTCACCTCACAGACCATCAATCAAAGCTTAAAGTTGAGACACCAACAATGCTTTTACGAAATTTAAACCAATCGATTGCTTATGTAATGGAACTCGATTAATAGTTTAAAAGATGATAAATCATGTTATCAAAGTCAAAGTAATAATAGGGACTAAGATTGAAAATAATGTACTCATATCAAGATCATTATCTCTCCCTTTGACACTAAATTGTCATTTGTGATAAGAAAAAGACAATTTCCTTTGTGATTGGCTTTTGATATGAGCACCAATAAGAGTCGAGGACAAACATTGTAACATGTAGGTGTCTATTTGCCCAAGCCTGTATTCTCCCATAGACAACTATTTGTTGTTATATCCCACGTAACCTCTCCATCTAAATTGAAGATTTTAATTCAAAATAAAGACGGTCAACCAAATAACTTCACCCAAAACATTATTTACAATTTAAAATAATTATGAGAAATGAAGCCATCATTCTAGGATTTGAAAGAAGATTAGAGGAGACAATAACTTGCTTATTAGTTATGGAAATTTGTCTAAAAATGGGATTAAAATGGTTATTTGAATTCGTCTAAAAAAGTACCTAATGTAGCAAGATGCCATTACTTTTACTCCCCTTATTAGATAGTGTTGAAGTCATTTTTTTATTCAAATAATTTGTAATAAGTGGGCTAGCTAGTCTACTAGCCAAATCATTAAAATTATGAAAAAAAAGTATCTCATATGAGAGTCCCCCCTCTTAAGTGGGGAGTTCTCTCTCTTTAAGTGGGGAGTTCTCTCTCCTTAAGTGGGGAGTTCCCTCTCTTTAAGTGGGAAGGACAGGTGTCCTTCACCTAGGAGGAGAGGGTAGTTACATAACCACCCCACTCCCTATTTAAGCTCCTTAAGGGGAAGCTAGAAACATAGACACACAAAGAGACTCTTCGGAGAAAATTTTCACAAGAGATTCTTAGAAAGGCAAAGATAAGGAGAGAAGAAAAGAGAAGTGCTCAAGGGAAGGCAAGGAAGGAAAAGTCTCACTAATACAGGTAGAAAAAAGGAAAGTCCTCTCTGTGAATACTTCCTATTTATGTCTTCTGCTATGTATCCTTCTTTTTCTCCCTTTTGTTATTACTTTTGAGAAAGGAAAAAGAGGGAAATAAACCATCTACAATCAGGTGCCTTTACTTGGTTGATTATGGTCCCTCTTTCAAGACAAATTATGGTTCCCTTCAAATGAAAATGAAGAGTAGGGCGGAATGAACCATCTACAACCAGGTGCCTCTACTTTGTTGATTATGTTCCCTCTGTCAAGACAAAATTAGGGAGTAAACCATCTACAATCTAAATCTCAAAGGCTGATTATGGTTCCCTTMAAATGAAAATGWWGARYRGAGGGATGAAAAWCGTCTACAATCAAATATTCAATTTGATTGACTACGGTTCCCTTTTTGTATGCAAAATTCCAAGGAGTAAGGCTGTCTACAATCAGAATTTCATCTGATTGACTACAACGTATTATGAAGAAAGGAGTGAGAAGGAAATTTTCTTTGTATTAAAGAAAAGAGAAATGTATTGCTCTATAGTTTCTCAATTGTAATTTATTTTTCTTTCTTCTCATTCTTGTACACCCGATGTAAAAGAAAAGCAAATGAAAAGTTCTTTTTAAGTATCCTATTGTTCTTTTCTTTTGTTCTATGCGTTCATTTCTCCAAGTCAGAATCAAAAGGTGTTCTCTACTTTCCTATGGGGATGTAATTAAGGGGAACAACACATATGATTCCCTGAATGGGCCTTATCAAAAATAATAAAAACTCAATCACTTGATTGAGTGAATTATGTTGCATGAGAATTTATTAAAATTTTCACACCAACAGAAAGATATCCAAGTATTCCAAGGCCTAGCACAATTTTTTTTTTTTGATAATTAGGCCTTGAAAATTGATAAGAAACCAGTTGACAACCATTTGACAATTGCCTTCTATCACCATCGCACTGTAGCCTGCTTCAGTCACCAACTTCAAACCTTGAGGTAGAGTCATTAGAGAATCTTCATCTTCTTATGGTCTTGCATGACTTACCACAATGTTTACCTCAAATTCTCTAAAAACTCACCTTAGACCCAATTGTCTCCAATTCTCAATTGACCCTTTGTTAAAATTTACTTTAATGCCCCTTATCATGTCCCTTGGATGATACTTGTCTCTTACGTGAGTTTATTATTATAAAGTCATGGTAAATAATGTTCCAAGTAAAGTCACAAATTGATAGCAACATATAGTTGTGCATAGAAGAATACAAACTAAGGCAAATAGATACCTACATGCTACAATGTTTGTCCTTAACTCTTATTGATGTCCATAGCAAAATCCAATCGCAAAGGAATTAAGGAATTCATCTTATAAACTATTAATTGAGTTCCACTATATAAGCCAATTGATTGATTTAAATTATTTAAAAAGCATTACTAGTGTCCCATCTTAAAAAGCATTTCTAGTGGCAGAGATACCATCTTCGGATTTATTTCATCATCTACAGTTTTCGAAGCTAATATACCACTATGTTGTAGATATGTCCAATCGAAGTATTTTTCCGTGAAATGTGGATATATATAGTACCAATAAAAAGTTCAATTCCTCCATTTGTAAGAACATAAACATCCACAAATCCAATTTAAACCACTACAAACTAAGACCAAGTCAACTTGGTTCAGTGACCAAACCTAGGTAAATAAGCCAAAACAAAGTGTAAATATCCCAAAGCATTAGGGCACAGGAGGACAACACTCCAAAATTAGGGCACTGCCTCTCCCTCTCCATCTGCCCCTCTCACCCCCTCTCCAACCTCAGATCTACCACTAGAACTATGATGGCCTGATCCCTCTCTAGGGTACATAGTGCAACC